GTACAGTACAGTACAGTACAGTACAGTACAGTACAGTGCAAAGTGATTACTACCTAACCTATAATATAAAAAATAAACATTTAATAAATTTTTAATTTTTGATAAAATGTTGAAATCTATAATTTTATCATCTTGTGTTAGATAAATCAAATCAACGTTGAGTGTCCCAATGTTCATTCTTCTCGTGTTAAAAATAAAAGTCTAAAAAAATAATATTTTTTTCAGATTAGAGAACCTTATTCTAGTTCCACTAGCAATAGGAGATAGGTAAGCTTAAAGGGACTTTTATTTCAGCAGACCTTCCATTTAGAGAGTTGAATGCCGGATTATTCACAACGGTCCCCTTAAAAACTTTGCCGATTAAGTCTGAGATACATATTTTGGTTTCTCGTTTTTAAACTAATTATCTTAAATTGCGGTTTCTCGTCAAAAGTGACTTGCGCAGTTTTCATGGAGAAACAATGAGAACTTATAAGAGACACTAGAGTTGGAAAAACGACATCCTCAACATTACTGAACAGTTAAAGGTTATCAGGGTACCCTTGTCAATCGGGAAATGTTGTTCTTTTTAAATGAATGATTACTTAAATTACAACTAAAGTTCCATTAGACTACAAACATTTGGCAAAAAAGGTTATTAAAAAGTGGTATTATCACAGGAGGTTGCTCTATTTAGGGGGAAGAGGGAGGGGAGCGGCATCCAAAAAATTCCAAAAAGCATAAAATTGTTACTTTATTCAATTTTCCGAATTAAAGAATTTGAGCCGTGTCTCATATTTGAGACGCGACTCAAACATTGTTGGTTCCACTAAACATTGTATTCAGGTATCGAGATTTGAGCTGGCGCTCAATTGGAACCGGTTTTGGGCGGTTCAGTGACGTGGTTTAAATTCGTTAAATTTGGCCTCTGGACTGATTTCGAAATTGATCTAATTATGTAAATAATATTGAATAACATATAAACAATTTTTTTTATTTTTAGATGGTGTAGTCATCCCAATCATAGTTTTTCAACCAAACCAGGAGCACCAGGTATACAAATATGTTAAAAATATTTAAAATAAGAAAAAAATTTTAGAAAATTTTTGTTTTTAACATTTTATCTATTCTTAGGATTTGATATTGAGGGGTCTCTGTATTGGGCAGCAATTCTTCAGCTTCCATATGATCCATTAGATGAGGTAATGAAGAATATTAACAGATCTTATTGTTATAGGCTATAAAAATTGGAAATTAAAAAAAAAAAATTTTAAAACATTTTTTTCTTTTTCCACGGGCAACGACGGGCCCTTTAGCTAGTCTTTAATAAGTGAAGATATTCGATATCAGATGGAAATATAACGTAAATTTCAATTAAAAATAGAACATACCAAATTCACAAGCGTTTTCTTTGTTAGAGCAATACTCATTTTCCTTTCTAAAAATCAGAAATTTCCGACTGAGGTTTCTCTATAATGTGAGACAAAATTGGCTAAAACTTAGTGAAAAGTAAACTTTAAACTTATTATTTGAAGATAAGATTAGTATTCACAGTTTGTAATTTGGTTTGAAAAGAGAGGAATTGAAAAATCATATTTGTGACAACATTTTAGACCCAATTCCTTCACTAAACCTAAAAGGTTAATATACAGTGAAAACCAGAAAATTGTGGACTTGAAAAAAACGATATTAAAGAAATATTTGTGTGCATTTGATGTTGTTACAATGCAAATAACTAGTAAAATGTTTAATCATTTATTATGTATTAAGTATACGGGTCTGGTTACACTGCACAATTGATGTGTCGAATGTTCATTAGACTATTTTAAGTCAGAACTTAAGAGTTAAAGTCGTCTTCTTATTCAACAGCTTTCTTGTTCTCACTGCACTGTAAACTGAAATGTGTTTTGTGTAAAGTATGCTGAGAGTGTGGTTGTGCGAACCTGTAACCAAGATGGAGTAATTACTGAAGAGGAAGACGACAGTCAGTGCTACTACGAATGCAGGTACTGGACAATCAATCACTCAACTGATGGCAAATTTTTTAAATAATTATGTTTAACTATAATTACATTATGAAATGATTTTTTCCGAGATTTGACAATTTTATTTTTTTTGTGTAAACTATTTTCTCAAAAAATAATTATTTTATTTTATCTTAACAACAGTAAATAAACTTTAAAAACTGTAGGTTTGGTCCCTGTATTGCTGTAGAGAAGGATTTAAGGGAATTTTCTATTTGTGGACGCTGCCAGGAAGCAAGGTAGGAAAAACATGTGTTTTTTATCATCCCGTGCGCAAGAAATAATTGCTTGATAAATCTCCATTTTCCATTTTCTAATTTAATCTAATGTTTGTTGTTTAATGAAATTATTTTAGATACTGTGGCGCGGCATGTCAGCAACGTGACTGGAGTAATCACAAGCGCATTTGCCGCGAGAAACGACGCGCTTTCCCGCTTATTTTCACAGAAGCTGAACCAGACAGATAATGCGGGAATAGAAATTTGAGAAAATCCGCAATCTAGTTTTATCGGAAGGAAGCACAACTATACAAGAAGACGTATCTTGCCTAATCATGATTGACAGATCTCAAATCTACCAAAGTTACCGCAAATCATTAAGTTAAAACCTATATTAGACCAAATTTTTTTCTTTCTTTTTTCTTTTAAGGCCCATTTGGACAATATCAATTTAAAAGCTAAGCTCAATAAGAAAATATTTAGATACAATCTGCATTTAGTCATAAAACTCAACATTCCATGATATAAGAGTTGTACATTTTTTTCTAAAATTTTATTCTGATTTTAAAAAGTCAATATTCTTATTTGAAAAATTCTGAAAAAAATTGGAAAGCAACATTTGTCAATTGATCATTCCGAAATTTCCGTTGTCTAATTGTATGTATTTTATCTAAACCAGTATTATTGTGTATACACTTCTTTGTTTACTAACAAAAACTAGGCAACACGAATTATTTATTAACTAGATTTTTTTTAAAAACTCAATTATAATTTAAGTCAAATTTTTGACAAAAACTTAAGAAAAAAGTTGATTCAAAAATGTATTTATTGTTGTTGCCTAACCTCTCTACTAACCTAGTCACATACCTTAGAACTTTTTATATATTTATATAATCTTTTTCATAAAATGAAAAAAGAACCCAAGAAGAGCAAATGAACTGTTCATCTAAGAGCATAAATTTGTTTAAACCCTTGATATTGATATTGATATTGATATTGATATTGATATTGATATTGATATTGATATTGATATTGATATTGATATTGATAATGATATTGATATTGATATTGATATTGATATTGATATTGATATTGATATTGATNGCGATAGAGAGAGAGTTAGTTAGTGATCAACTGTTATAATTCACGGACACTAGAAGTTCGTGGATTATACATTGCTACACAGTTTCGTAGATTTGTAAAAGTATCATTAAAAAAATGAAGTTAAGAAGAGAGGAAGAGGAAAAGAAGGAGGGGTTAAAATTAGGGATTGTCCGACTGGGAAGAGCAGCGGGAAAGGTATGAAAAGTTCTTTTTTTAAAAAAGATAAAATAAATAAAAATCAAACAATTTTTTAAAAATTCACTTATTTCTAGAATAAAGCAGTAAAGAATAAATTTAGAATAGAAGTATATTTGTAAAAAATATAAAATATAGAAATGAGAAAAAAATACAGCTGTTCGATGTTGAAAAAATAAGAGAGACAAAATACAAAATATATTTATATGTTAAAAATGTACAAGTCTATATATAATTATTTCATTTTCTTATTACAATTTTGATCTTATGTGAATAATTTTACAATGTTAATTAGTTTTTTGTGATTATTCGTATATTATTTAAATGGAAACAAAGATGGCAGTACATTTTTTTACTCTTTAAAGAAAAATTGGAAAACCAAGGGCGCNATTTGGCTTCTTGGATGCTTTAAAGGTACACATACAGTCCAATTACCTTACAAATACTAAATTATCTCTCCTTTAAACAAAACTATAGCAGAAAAAAAATGTTTTCAAAAAATCTACATTTTTCTGTTCTGTTAGTATTTATACTAAAGATAGTGACAGAAATTTTTGAAAATGAAATTCTGTGAACCAAACTCAACTCTGTGAATTTAAAAGGGAAAATTATCCTACAGCACTGCAAAAATATATATATTTTTTGTTCATTTTTTTGTTCTTCATTCTCCCGCCCCTTCACATTTTTATGGGGAGGCACTTCCCCCCTTGCCTCTCCCCTGTATACGCCCTTACGGATAGTTCGTTCGGACTTCTGTCATGGAGGCTCTGCAGGTCCACGTATACAATCTTCTTAGTCTCAATTCAGAACAGCAAACTAATTTTTTTTATGTTCTTCATTTTGCAGTTTATGATTTTAAAAGTGTGATAGCTCTGAGTTTTTCGCCCCCCCCCATTCACATGTCTAAGGGGAGGCACTGCCCCCCTTGCCTCTCCCCTGTATACGCCCTTACGGATAGTTCGTTCAAAACTATCTGATATTACTATTACTGAAGTCATTATAAACCTAAAATTAAAATGTTAAACCGGAATTCAAATATTTTTTATTCTGTTCGCACTTCAAAGCAATTCGAGTACTCGGACGACACTGTGCTATATTCAGGGCTTTGGGAATGTTTATCTATGTTGTTTATCTATGTATATTGTAAATATTTAAATTACGAGTTTAGCTAATTTTCCATTTAAAAGTGGACCCACTTATTTAGAGTAGATAAGAACATGCCTTAAATTTTGATTGGGGGACTCGGGAGACCTACGGGAATGTTCTTATCTTGGTTTTGAGACTCTAAATAAGTGGGTCCACTTTTAAGAGGAAAATTAGATAAAATAGTAATTTCCAAACCAAGGTCGGGAGTAAAATGAGTAACCTGGGCAAGGCTGGGTTATCAAGCTGTTATTTTTATAATTCCAAAAAAGCTAAGTGTAAATGGGAAAAATGGAAAATTCTACTTTTTTTGGACACTCAGGGGTGGCCGGGGGGTGTTATAGGCTATAAAACCCTCAGTAACACTCAATTAAAAATGGGACATACCAAATTCAGAAGCAATACTCATTTTCGTTACTAAAAATCATGAAATTTCCGACCGAGGTTTCTCTATAACGTAAGACAAAATTGGCTAAAACTTAGTGAAAAGTAAACTTTAAACTAATTAATTGAAGATAATATTAGTATTCACAGTTTGTAGTTTGGTTTGAAAAGATAGGAATTGACAAATCATATTTGTGACAAAATATTAGACCCAATTCCTTCACTAAAACTAAAAGGTTAATATACAGTGAAAACCAGAAAATTGCGGACTTGAAAAAACGATATTAACCCTGTTGTTTATCTATG